GCGCGCTGCCTCAGCGTTGCCACCGCCCAAGCCCCGCGGCGCAGCCATGCGTCGGCTGCGGGACTGCGCGCTTGTGTAAACCTGCATTGTGCGTGCGCGCGTTTGTACTGCTGCTTGCTTGTCTGCGCTCTCTCTCCCCCCCTTCTCTCCTGCCTTGTATGCCACATGCACCACCGCACCGGTCGAAAATGGGCCCCCCCTCCGGGCGTGTTTGCGGCCGCCGCCTTTGCGGCCGCGCGCCAGGTGCCCCCGGTGTCACTAGTGCCTCGCTTGCACTGCCCAGCGGCTCGCACCCCCGCCGGCCACGTCGGCCCGCGGTGGGTTCTATCGCATATTTTTTCTGGAGGTTTTTTCGCGAGCCGCCTACAGCCCCGGCAAGCACATGCCGGCCGGGGGGCGTGGCGCGCGCCCCGCACGGCGCGCGCCCGCTGCCGAGCGGCCAAACTCGGCGCCCGCCGTCCGCACCGGCCCCTTGCAGGGGCCGTGCGACGCGGGGATTAGTGCGCTATCATTGCGTGTGGGTTTTGTTGTGGTGTTGCCACCCGCGCCTCGCAGGCGCCGGTGGCGTTGACCGCCTGCCATGCGGCGGTTGACTGCTCGTTTTCCTTGACCCTGGTTGGAACACAGTGGCTGCAGGATCCTGCGATGCCGCATGCGGACAAATCATCATCAGCGGAGTACCAAATCATGCGTCTGACCCTTGACCCAGGTTTGCCAACCTCCTGGCTGCAGTGGGCCCCCGCCCCACCGATTCGCCCCCACCAGTGGACTCGGCGGTCGCAACTAACGCCAGGGCAGCCCAGCGCTCAGCGGCGTCGAGTTTACAACGGGTCGCAACCGCACAACCGCAAGCCATCCACACGCGTGCCCCACTACCCTTCTACGCCCTGCGGGGCCGGCGCCGCAGCTGCTGCTGCTGCTCCGTCGCACCGCCCTCGTCACCGCTGCCGCCGCGGCCGTCCTTGCCGCTCTCCTCCGCGCCGCCTTCATCCGCCCCACCGCTACCCTGGGCGCCACCATCGGCGGCGGCCGGCTCCAGCGCAGCAGCCCCAGGGCTGCTGCGGTCCCCTCTGCTGCCGCCGCCGCCGCCCCCGCCGCCCCCGCCCCCGCCGCCATCGCCGCCGCCGCCGCCTCGGCACGCCGCGGCCGCGAGCAGCGTCAACGGCCCCGCCAGCACCAGGGGCCAGGCCACCGCGGGCGCGCGGTAGAGCAGCTCGAGGGCCGGCACCGCGGCGCCGCGCAGCGCCGAGAGCGGCGGGAACTCGAAAACCATCATCACCCACCGCGCGGGGGCGGCCACCTCCGAAATCTGCTGCCGCCGGTGCGCGGTCTCGGCGGCGGCAAACTGCGGCGGTTTGGCGGCGGGGACGGCGGTGGGGTGGGCGGGTCGGCGGGGTTCGCTGTGCAGCGGCGGCGCGGCGGCGGCAGCGGCGGCATCCGCGGCGCGCTTCAGCGCCCGCATGCGGCAGCTGCCATTACCTGGCGCCGCGCCGATGCCAGCCCTCCCACTCCCCCTCCCCCCTCCCCCCGCGCACCGCCTCTTGGTAGCGCGCCTTCCAGCGGTCCCGCCGGTACGCCGCCGCCGCCTCGGCCGCCGCGCCGCCGGCGCCGACGATGAGGCCGTCGAAGACGTAGCCCTTGTCAGTGGTCCACAGCTCAAACGCGACGGCCGAGGCGGGCGGCACCCGGCGCAGCGGGCTGACCGAGGGGCTCTCCTCGAAAAAGGCGGGGTTGGGGATCATGCGGGGCTTCCACTCGCCCTGGGGTGGGAGGGGTTGCGCGCGTCGGGGTTTTTTGGCGGTCGGGGTTTTTTGCAGGGGGAGGGGGTTGACGCTGGCACTCAAACGCGCAAGCGCCGTGCTGAGCTGTGCTGCCCTGTGCATGCTGTGCGTGCTGTGCCGCCCAGAGCCGATCTCTGCTGCGCTGCGATCTACCGCGGCCGCACGGCATGGCGCCCCCCCTGCGCGCCGCGGCCACCAGCACCCGGCCCCCCACGCGCGCGCCTCACTTTGTAGTTGGGGTTTGGTATTTGGGGCGGCAGCCACACCCCCTTGTATTTGGGGTTGCGCTTGTGGGGGCGCTCCCACGGTCCGCAGCCGGGCGCGTCCTCGCACTTTGGGTTCTCTATCTGCGGTTGGTGTTGGTTTTGGGCGCGGTTTGGGGCTGGTGTTGGGGTTTGGTTTGGGATGGAGGTTTGGCCGATGGCATGAGCACAGCAGTTTTGTGGGAAAGGTTTGGGGGGGTCAGGAGAGCGACAGGGTTGGAGGCGAGGCGCCGCAGCTTTGAGCGGCAGGCCCACACAGCGCACACGGCCCCGCGAGTCGCGACTGCCAGGCCCCAGCCCAAAGCCGCCTCCCCTCCCGCCCCGCCGCCCGGCGGGGCAACACAACCGCCGCGGCCCGAAGCCGCCTTTGCCGCCCACCTGCTGCGGCGCCCACGCGCCGTCCTTGGCGTCGTCCCAGCCTTTGGGTTTGGACTGCCCCGGCGGCGCGATGTGGGTGGGCTCGTGCTCCAGCCAGCCCTCCGGCATGGTGGCGTCCTCATCCGGGACCTTGGGGGTGGGGGTGGGGTGGGTGTGGGGTGGGGTGGGGTTTGGGGGCTGGGGGGTTTGTGGGGGATGGGAGCGGAGTGTTGGGTGGGGGTGTGGGATGTGGGGTGGGGTTGGGGGGTTTGGGGTGTGCAGGTGCGCTTTGCGTTGTCGCCGGCGCTGTTTTCGTTTACGTCAGCACA